TACATCAAGTAGCGCATGGCACATAGAAGATGACACAGCAAATTGATCGATTGCGACGTACGTTTCGTCCCCGCTGGACTCCTCAGGCAATTTTCTTCTTGGATGTCTTCATACGGAGCTTGACTCGGGAGAATTAAGTTGAAGACACCACTGCAGCTGTACTAATAATAACTGATGAGTCCAGCGGGGACGAAACGTACGTCGCAATCGAGCTATGTCGTTGCTGTGTCATCTTCTATGTGCCATACGCTACTTGATGTACCAGCCTGCTATGCCGGATACCGCCAACCATGCATCGACCAGGCGCCAGGCGCGAACTGATGGTGGTAGTGGCGAGAAGGAGAGCTCTGTGCCAGCTCTTTGCAGCCTAGAGATCGTGTGTGGGCAGGCGTGTGCTTACCGCCTTGTTGCCAGGTGTGTCTTTACCACCATATTGATCAACCATATTAGTACAGCTGTAGTGGTGTCTTCAACTTCATTGTACTTATACAGTAATAACAACTTTTTTTAAGAACTTTGAAACTCCACTGTAAAAAAAATGAAACGAGAGAGCTTGGAAGCTCAGGGCCCTACGCTATGCTTTTTTGCCTTGATTACCAAGACAAAAAATAGCATAGGGATGTTATAAGTTCTTTAAAAAAATCCTTTTTTTATATTTTTTTATAACATAACCTGAGATTCGAACCCGCACTATCGCGCGCCCTGCATGCATCCCCCGATACACTTCGCATACATACTAATTCTTCCAAGTAGTTGTTTCACATTGTGATCTTGCATTTGAAAGCCTTATTGGAATATGCATTGTGGCCAGCCGTCTTTGACGGTACGGTAGGGGATGGGACAGGTACGATCGAGGGTAATACGACACCGTCTCCCGTACGGTACCGTACCATCAAACACAGCTGGCCACATACAGCTGCCCGCAATATTTAAATAGGGCTTTCAAACGCAAGATAATAACGTGAAGCAACTTGGAAGAATGCGAAGGTTATGGGGGAATGCATGTAGGGCGATAGTGCGGGTTCGAATCCCAGGATTTGCCTGAAAAAAAAAATTGGAAAAATTGAAAAATTTATAACATCCTATGCTTTTTTGCCGTCAGATACGGATAGCGACAGGCGTGACACAAACAAACAAACAAACACACAAATACCAACTTAAAGCTGTGTGGACCCTGGCTAGCGCCATACGTTACTGAAGTAACGTCTTCTGCATAGCTACGGGAACGAGAGAGCTTGGAAGCTCAGGGCCCTACGCTATGCTTTTATGCTTTTTTGCCTAGCTCATCGTACATGTTATAAGAACTGAGGCAAAAGTGTTTGCAGAATTTATTGCGGATTGTTTTTTCTCTAATATTTGTCTACTTTTGGTTTGCTCCTTTTCTTTTTATCTCCTTATACTGTAAATCAACAAATTTTGGCAGATGAGAAATAGAAACTTCTCTATTAGAGAGGTTAAGATGCACGTTATTTCCGACGTGACGCGCAATTTCACGTCAAATTTGAAATCGATCGGTATTTTTCCTCTCACATGCATCCATTGCTCAATCATGCATCATTTGCCTATATGACATACTTTGGCCTGCGATTTACTTTGGCCGGTTGGTACCAAGCGGCGAAATCAGCGAAATTAAATCGCCAGCGAAAATTAGTTAATTTTAATACAGTAATCGGATTTTCTGGCCTTTTTGTAGTCATACATATACATTGACCTGTTGAGCCAATGACGACGCCGAATGCATGGTTGCCTGTGGAGCACATTACATAACTTAGCAGTCTCCTAAAATACGTATCCTGTCCGACGGCAAAAGAGTCTGCAGATTTAGTTTTTCTGCGCGTCGACCGGATGTCTGCGACGCGAAAGTTCAGCTCGCATTATTTGGCTCGCACGTCGAAAAATCAACGCGAGTGACCTGCTGCTCACGTGGAAATTTGGACATTACATAACTTTACAGTCTCCTATAATACGTATCCTGTCCGACGGCAAAAGAGGCTGCAGATTTAGTTTTTCTGCGCGTCGACGGGATGTCTGTCCTGACGTTCACTGGGACCGGCGCTGACTCTGCCGATCACGGGCGTTCTGGACTCGACGAGATGTCTGTCCTGACGTTTCCTGGGACCGGCTTAGACTCTGCCGTACACGGGCGTTCTGGACTAAACGGGATGTCTGTCCTGACGTTGCCTGGGACCGGCGAACTCTGCCGATCACGGGGTTCTGGAGTCGACGGGATCTCTCTTCCGACGTTTCCTGTGACCGGCGCTGAATCGCTCGTTCACGCTTATTTTGGTGACGACGGGATCTCTCTTCCAAAGTACATGTATGTTAATGCGGACGCATCCTATCACCTATTCGGCGTCTATTCTAATTTAATTTCCTCCTCGTCTCCGTATTTCTTTCCAAATCTCCCTCTACATCAGGGAGTCGTATACATAATACGACGAATATTGGTACGGTACGGGACAGATACAGGAGCCCGCAAATATTGTGGACAGCTGTTATGTACAATCCTGTAGAGCCTTTGTAGTCACAGATACGGGACAAATACGGGATAGCCCCAGCCGTGACACAAACAAACAAACAAACAAACACACAAACACCAAATTAAAGCTGTGTGGACCCTGGCTAGCGCCAGACGTTACTGAAGTAACGTCTTCTGCATAGCTACGGGAATAAAATAAATTATCGTGTCCGTTCCCGCTAACACCCTGTAAAACTCTACTGTAGCCAACTTTCATATTTTCAGTACACCCATCTGTCATATGTTCAGTACACCCAACCTTGTCATATGCTCAGTACACCCAACCTTGTCATATGTTCAGTACACCCAACCTTGTCATATGGTCAGTACACCCTACCTTGTCATATGTTCAGTACACCCAACTGTCATATGTTCAGTACACCCAACTCGCAACACACAAACAGTGCATCATTAGGGATATCACTGATGATGCCCTGTTCCTGGGTGAAAATGTGGACAATTTACTGTACGTGGTGTAAGCAAGGACTGTTTGTGTGTTGCGAGTTGGGTGTATTTCCTCTGTTAACACAAACTTCGGGATGAATTATGATTAGGGCTGAAACGATTATACCTAATAATCGAGTACTCGTTTGATACATCTAACGATCGAGCAATCGTTTAGATTACCGATTACGATTATTTTGCGTTTTTTAATTTGTGTCCAGAAAGTACTGTAAACCCTCGTTTTGTGAAGTTTGAATCAGTTTCCGTTGGGAGTATGCAGTTGCCAGGGGTATGGTTCATGGTCTGAGGTAAAATTTACTTCAAAACTGCCATGTTTCGGAGCTACCCTTTCACTAATGCAGATTTGTCGGTATTATGAAGGCATAGTTTGTGGAAACAGAGTAATGTTTGCACAGAATTATGACTCTATTTGCTAACGATTATAATCTTGCATGCTCTCTCTCATGCAGCACACGATAGTTGGATTTAGAGACATCATTCACAATTCTCTCGCTGATAAACCCTTTGCGTGCTGAGTACGAGCTAACTCGCACTTTATGCATGACCAGATCCACTACGTACGACTACTCGCAACAATTTCGCGCGATGTATCGCAGTGCATAGACCAGTACAGTGTACAAACTTTCGTACCTTCGTCAAACATAAACGCATTGCAACAATCAATACACCGTTACACCGTTGGAAAGGTCTTGATCTCATCTTTCCGGGGATATAAAGTTCTTCGCGATAGGTGAAGAATTCATTGAGCGGCAATTAGATGAACACGAAAATCACGGCCCAGAGTGAACGCGAATTTTTTTGTTCATGACTTCTTTTTGTTGAGGAGCGTGCCAAGGGATTTCCCTTTGGCGCGGCGCATGCGTGATGGAAATCAAATGAAGCGCTTGGATCTGAGCTTTGCAGCGCAGTTAGAATTGTGAAAATCTGTTGAATTTGGGCAAGAAGCCGAACAAGAATGTGAAATTGAGTTGTTGTGCCGATCCAAGGCATGGTGGAGTAGTTTGGAGAGGACGTGGAAGTGGCCCTGATGTGTCTATCGAGCTGAGAGCTGCCAGGATGGATTTATTTGGTCCTGATCTTTCCAACGAGCCCATGACGATGAAAATCCATCAAGGTGGAGTGAAATGAGAATAAATTTCGTTCGGAGCTGTGAGTGCCTACTCCACCAAGAGAGTCATTGCGCTGGAAAGCCAGTGGATTGGAGAAAAGGGGCTCAGCATGCAAAGGGTTAATGCCTCTACGATCACCTTGTGATTGTGAGTTATACATACAAACATACATACATACATACTTAATCGATTACTCGATCTAAAGAGTAATCAATACGTGAAAATCCACGATCGTTTCAGCCCTAATTTTGATGGATATGAAAACGCTTGGAACAGGTCAAGAACCAGACCCGCTGGAATGCAGGCGACGTTGATCCGGTTTGAGTGGGTCCGGGGATCTCCCCAGGGGCATTTTTTGAAAAATCGGGTCAGATTTAGCAGAATTTGGCCCTTTCACAAGGTTTCAGAGCCCGCTACAGGGAATAATTTTGCATGGATATCAACGTACGATGTTTGGCCAACTATGGGAGTATGGGTGCATGTATAGATGGACAGAATGCCAGCCAGAGGTGCTAGAGAGTTTTTACATTGCCAAGTTACAGCCTGCTCTTGTAGACAGAAGGGGCTTTTGAGGAAGGTAGTGCTTTTCCGACTTTCCTCCCCCTCCTTCCCTGCTATAATTATTGTGCTCTTTGGAGCAACTCACTCCATCATTTAGCCTGTGTACATTTCAACACCATTCTACCGCCGATATGCTGTGTAAATTGACATTGTTGTGCTTCGTCTCATTTTCAACCTTAAAATGAACCGATTTGAGAAATGATTGTACAAAAGGACTCATCAGATATACAACTCCCTTCGTCTCTTCGTATGCTAATATGTTTCTCTTTGTTTAAGTCTCGAGTTCATTTCTGTCTCCATGGCAACTGACCTATGGGTACACTTCCATTTTTTTGGTTTCGTTGCAGGTGAACATCACGTTCTTTGTAACTATGGAGTGCTTTTTATGCACACGCAGGAGTTACAGGATTACCAAGCTGCCGAGAACTTTTGTGAAGATAGAGGCGCCAGTATACCTTCCCTCAACGGCGAGGGGATTTGCATGAAACACCTTTCCACCCAGTTAGATGCAACCTATCACAGATCCCTATATTTCTGGGCTACTGAACCAGGTTATATTGGATTTGGTCCCGAAACGTTTGGCTATAATGGCATACACAAGAATACTCAGCAGGACAAATTTAATGTAGCCTGCTTTGACACGAGAAGTAAGTCCAGCAAATATAACTTGCATAAATTATTTGAGTTTCTTTGTGCTGTGCTGAAGGGTCCTCAAAGGACTATAACAATATTGCCCTTGGAATAAAATGGGCTGACTACTCATATTTCTTCCATTCTATAACAATATCTAAGAAAGGGTTTCCTTTCCACTAGGCCTTTCCCAGATCGGCCATTTATTTTGGCCTATTCGGCTTTTCGATAGGCTGAAAAAAAACTCTGTAAAAGGTGGAAATTCGGCTCTAAAGTCACAGCCACCTTTCGCAGATAATGGCTACAGAAATTGAATTTGCATGCTATTGAGGCACTAAAACATCAATTTTCGGGGAATTCAGTGCGAAGATTGCGTATTCGGCTCAAAGATCGGTGATTTCTTCAAAACCACTATTTTTTTTTGGGAAATACCCACGGACCGTGACGCAGGCGCGCACGAGCGGTCATGCCCAGTTACCCACGACCCTGCAAAACATGTATATTCGGCAATTTCTTGGTAAACTCCACTACCCAGGTAGGGCAAGGTTCACTTGAAAAGTCGCTGCGGCATGACTAAATGCAATTGGGACCATCTAATTGTCTACATAATGTGCATAGAACATGCAATCATTTTTTTTTTACTAGAGCCACGTAAACCCGTCATGTGTGAGCCATGAATAAGGGGAGTGGTGGCGTGGTCTGGGATGCTCTGCCGACCTTGGGTCTCGGCTTCATTACAACCAGGCGCGCCAATAGCAGAGAGAGAAAGAGAGAGAAACTTAGACAGAAAGAGAGAGAGAGATTTGCCTTAGGTTTCATGCTCTGAAGAGTGTAAAACAAAAATCATGAATTATGACGTTCATGTATGAAATGTACCAGTAACCGTATAGCAATAAATTATTACCCTTTTAACGATATTTCTTGGTCTGACGCAAGTATCGTTTGAAGGGTAGGTCAACTGCAATAACAATAATAATAGTTTGATAACAGCAAGACAAGCTGAATCAACATTTGTGTTGTCATGCAATGTAAAACAGTGGAGACGATGTGCAATAACACAATGAAAGAATGAAGAAATGGTGTAGAGAAAAAAATAAGGATTCAAAAAAGTTTTCGTACAACACTCATCAGGAATCGTCGTTGTACTAAAGGACAATGAAACAAAATAGAACTTTTTTAGAAAATCTAAGTTAGCGAAATAGCACTAAAAACAACAGCAGTGAAATTTACACGTGTGAATCTTAAACAATCAAAGCGAGAGCAATAACGAATGTGTGCTAACAATAACCTTGCAAATGGAAAAATGAACAAACAAGAGAAGGAAGGAAGGAAAGACAAAGTGATAACGCACAACACGAGTACATTTCATCTAGAACATTAACGGCCAAGCTTGGCCGCACTAAACACAACACGTTACTTGAACAATTTCAACCCAATTATACTATCTTTCTGTACACACAAATTAGGCTTATACAGACGCTGATAGATAGCTTCCAAAACTATTAACTGTAGTCCATAACCATGACGACCATGGCACAATACAGTGAGCGAAGAGTCGGAATACGAATTGCAACAATCTAGCTAGCAGATGATTGTACACTGAAGACTTGCTACCACGAAACCTACGCACAACACTAACATTCTCGCCAGCACTCGCACGATCACTCTCATCATCGCTCTCCGACTCACTGCTCCCTTCGCCGTCCGTTCCATCCTCCGTTTCCTCTTCGCTCTCTCTGTCTCGTCCATCCCGCCTGACCCGGTCCATTGAACTTGACTCGACCTTCACCCTGCCGTCACCGTCACGTCCCTCCTTTCGCCCTTGTCCGTTGAGTGCGTAGCTTCTGTTGCAGTTGGCTGTTGATCGTCTTGGTCTTTCAATAGTGGGCTTGGATGGTGGATTAGTTGTGGTTGCTGTAGATTGCGTTGTTGGTGTTGGTGTGGGAGCTGCTGATATGCAATGTGGGTCTTTTTTAGTCGGCATTTGTAGTGTTAATGCCACTGTCGGTGTTGCTCGCGGTCTGTCACTGGCAAGTTCCACTGCCGCGAGAACCGACGGCGGTGGATCAGGAGGAGGTAGTGGGACCGGGACCGCAAGTGGCACCACCTCAGTCAAAGCCGCCGGGGGCACTGACTAACCACCGACGGCAGGAGCAGAGGCGGCGACACAAGCCCACCCAATAAGCCACCATGTCGGCAGAGCAAGCACAGTCTGTGAGCCAGGATCCGCGGGTTGTGTAGGTAACGGTTGTGTGGTTAAAGGGGAAGTATACCCTAAAATCAAAATTTCACCAGTTGTAGTCTTCGGGGTGCTGAGTCGAATGGTCTTGGTCCGAGGACGCTGAGATGCTTCCTTCCTTCTTTATTCCCAATCGAACCCGCGCATTTCCACCGAAACTGGGTGACTGCGCCCTACTACAGTCTGTTTCAAAAAGATTAGCAATCAAGTTTGGGTCTTAAAAAGTATGAAGATAAGGGAAATTTGGACACGAAAGTACATAAAACGGCTTGTTAGGGCACGGCAAATTGTCCTGTGAAGGTTTCGGAACAAATGGACCAACCGTTAAGGAGTTAGAATTTCGGCCAGGTTTCTGGCCTTTTCCCATTGTTTATAATTTGCTCTGGAAGCCAGTATCGATTTGTTATCAAAACCCACGATTTATCCCTTCTTTTTTGGCCCTGTTGTTATGAATGCTGTCTGCTGACCATGAAGTTGTGAGTTTAAAGCCCAACAAATCTTCAAGACAAACACTTTTTCCTCATTTTTTCATTGTTTTGGTGATCACGCTGGTACAGGACAAAGAATGTGGCTGCGCCAAACGACTTGTTGTTGGAGCTCGCGTTTCCTGCCGAACCGACTAACACTTGACTGGCTCACGCCATGTGAAGTTGTACACACACACAACACTGAAACCGTGTGTGGGAACACGGAAGTCATTGCACTGTAGTTACGTGTTGTTGAATACCCCGGCACATCGATCGATCGATTTCTGTTTGAGAATTATTTTACAGAGGCCTCATATTACATTATCGTTGTCTGATGATTGGTTCAGCCATGAAACTCTGAGTCACAACGGAATAAATTTGCCAAGGTTTTCATTGTGTGCCTTTGTGAGAATTATTTTAGTATTTTTTTAGTAGATCGCCAATTTATTTGAATTTAGGAGTCAACGCCGTCTTCTATCAGCTTTCACAGGCGTCTGCTTTTCTCAAAATGTTGACGAAATCACATGGATAGCTTTGCCACATGAAGGCCTTGGGAATGAGTCTGTGTCGATGTCGTTTTCGTCACATCGTGAAAGTAAATTGCATCCGCGGCAGCTCAAAGAATCTATTTGGTCACAAAACGAATTGGGACGCATCCCACTCATCAAAATTTACCACACTTTCGACATGTCCTCGACCAGCTCCTCTCTGACTCCATATCGATACGAGGAAGAACTCGTTTGTTCTAAACCAGACGAACATGCCTGTATGCGTACGAGTACCGACGTCAGTGAGTTGTCATTTTCATGCTTTCGCGCGGAATATTTCTTCGAGTTCACAGTGAGTTTTTCCAGGCAGCGCTCGAGCGCTCATACGGTAAGACGGCAAACTCCCCGGGCGATCGCCAGGATTGCTAGTCTTCTTGAAACTGACTATAGATAGGGACTTGTATGGGAAAAGTCACTAAAAACGCTGTTTCGTTCTTATAAAAGCACGGATGACCACGACTGGTCCATATGTTGTAGTCTTGTGGCCGCTGAGTCGACTGGTTTTAGTCCGAAAAGGCTGCGGTGCAGCGTTCGGCCCTTATTCCCAATCGAACACGGTTGATTGACCGGTCACGATTTAAACAAGTCACTATGGACTCGACCCCACGACTATGAGATGCAGGTTCACTGTCCAGTGTACACCGAGCGTTGTACTAGTACGACGGGCGTGGGGCACGCAGCTCGTGTGCATCGTACTAGTACGATGCTCGCGCTAAAGAGGTTAAACAAGTGTAGTGTGCGTTCTCTCTGTTGTTGACCTACCATCATATTTAATATCCATATGATCAATGGCCCCACCATTGGCCACTGGATGCTAGCCGGGTGCTAGCCTATCTCCGGCCTTCGGCCGAGTGCTGATGGATATTCTTAACAGAATAACAGAAAAGGCGTGATTTGTATTTTGTATTTATTATATTAAAGGATTTCCCAAAGGCTTTGGGCCTGTCGAGGGGATCTCCTGCAAGAAGACTGAAATGATAACTTTATGTAGAGGGAGCAGCAAATCGAGGATAGGCTAAGGAAATAGATCGAGGCATAAAATCTGGTAATTAAGGAGTTATTATACCGTCAGTGTAATGAATATATCGGCGAACATGCTGATAGAGAGACTGCCTGAATTCGGGGAGGCTGGTTATAGAGGTAAGAGAAGGTGGCGGGCAATTCCATAGCAGTGCAGCTTTGTTGGAAAAGAGGGAAGAAAAACGCACACCGTGATAATATTGATGTTAAGTTTGTTTGGTCTACTTGGACTTGAAAACAGTGAGAGGTGAACATGTTGGAGGTATTCTGGAGATAAGTTTAAATAAAGTAACAAGAGCTGATACTTGTCTGCGAAAGTGCAATGACTCTAAGTCACAAAGGGCATTTAACTGGGGTTTCGTTTCGCATCTATCTGCACTGACTTTTTTTACGTAGCAAATACTTCCTAGCTATTCTGGCTTGTAAAATATTTAAACGCTCCAGCTCAGCTTTGGTGATGGCATAGGACCAGGCCGAGGTGGCGTGTTACAGGGCGGGTCTGACAAAACCTTTATATACAGTCAACTTTGCTAATAACGACTGCGGATATAACGACAACTCGCGAATAACGACATAATTTTCATGCCCAGGGCAAAGTCCCATCCAACTGTGACACATATAATGAGACTTCGGGTATAACGACACTTCGCGAATAAGGACACTTTTCTGATGCCCCGCCGAGTGTCGTTATAAGCGAAGTTGACTGTAGAAGTAGAAAGGCTGTGGGGGCGAG